ATAGAGCCAGCAAGGAGGGGAAAGTGACTAGTCGACTATCCAATAAGCATTTGCTTATCAGATAGTCGACTAGTCCTTCACATCCCTAATTTGCTCAGTAGCTTTATCTGCAACCATGTAATTATGATTAAGATGTTCAAAATGTTCTTTTCAGTGAAAATTAAAGTCTGTCAAACCTCGTAAGTGACTTCATGTAGTTCAAAAATTAATACAGTATTAGAAGCTTTAAATTGTGGTTACTTTTTTTATCATTCATAGTTATGCTTAATATCACTTTCAAGATCTAGTGCTTCTGAGACGAGTCATGTACGGTAATAAACAAGTCTGTTGGGGTAAAAGCAATTTTGTGTTTAAAATGAAAGATAGATTGTAATTGGGTATAATTGAGCAATGTGTATAATAAAAGTTGAATTGTATATGCAATTTAACAACTGTTAAATTCATCACTGAACAACCTAAAGTGTGTCTTTGAAGCAGAAAAGTTTTTAGATAGGGACTTTAGCGACACTGTATGTAAAGGTATATGGTATAGTTTGTCTATGTTTTGAATTTGTTTTAAAGGCAGAAGAATTTCGGAGGCTTTGGAAAACTCCACCTCGAGAGAGAGCAGGTTTCTTTCACAATGTCAGGAAATCTGATTCGGAAAGAGGAGTTGAAAGAGTTGGGAGGTACTAAGAGAATCTCATCATGAAAAATGTGTTGGCTGTAACCTAGAAAATCATTTACAAAACTCCAGCAGTAAAGGCACATTAATGGTTCACATAAGGACAGGCTTCATAAAGCAAAACATTTTTATACAGACATTTTACAATGTATATTTTGTTTGGATCCTTATATTTTTCTGTAAATAAATGCTTTCATTCAAAACAATGAGGCTTATGCACCGTAAGGTTGAGGTGGGAAACTTTTTTAAGGTTGGGGACCGCTGGCCCACAGAAAAATCAGAGGCCGCATACAAGTGAGAAGCCCCCCCCCCCCCCACAAATGGGGCGCTTTAAAGTCAGATAGGACCATTATGATCATCTAGATCTGCACATTGCAGGTCATCTACCTGACTACTTTGAAAGGGAAAAAGAAACGATATATATATATTTGCTATTATCCACCTTATGTCCAGAGCTCTCTTCTCAAACTCCACCTACTCTTTCGCCTAATTTCTCAGAATATTTCAGATGAGAAATCAATAAATATATGTATATTTTAAATCAGTGTGTCAACTAATTGAGTAATAGATCTGAGCATTGCTTTAGTTTTCTGGAAAAAGCTGGGAGATTATTATTAAAAGTTTGGTATGGGAAAAGATGTTAAGGAATTCCCATATTTTCTCTCCAGCCTCTCCCATATCCTCTCTTTATATGTACTATAAAGTGTTCACCTTTGTGAAAGGAATTGAGTTGATTAACTTCTGTTAAGAAGCACCAAAGTCAGCAATTGATTCATTTCTCCACCTGATGCCTAAATAGTCCTCATTAAAAAAGTCTCAAACTGAGGTGTGTCACAGTTAATAGGGGAAATGGTAAGAGGCCTGGAAATAGGTAATAAAACATGTTCAGTATTATTGTCATAATATATTATGTCTTCACAAATGATTCGTTTTATCTTATTTATTGCAGGGAGTTAGCTCATGAGCTGGGGTTCCCGTGGGTTGAATACTGGGAATTTCTGGGCTGTTTTGTTGATCTGTCTTCCCAGGAGGGGTTGCGAAAATTAGAAGAGTACCTGAGTCAACGGGAAATGAGCGAAAAGGCTCAGCAAGAAACAGGAGAAAATGAAACCTGCAATAGATATAAAACTCCACATTCTTCTGGTAAGAAAATAGCAAACATTATTATAAACAAAAATCGTGATTACATTCAGAAAACAGCTTAGAGCAGTACTTGGAGTTCACACTTAATTCATCTTTTTTTGGTTTGCATATATTATCTGTTACTCAATTATTATTTTGTTTTCAATGTAAAAATGTTAATTTAGAGAACTGTGAGCATTCAGTTAGGGTTACCACATCATATCTCATTAAACATTCTCCATCTTGCAGATTCTGGATTAAAATGCTGGCCTTTTTGAAGTCAGTGGCAAAACTCTTGTTGACTTTGGGGCCAAGATTTCACGCAGCATGTACTTTGAAGTACAATCAGCTTTTTAAAGCAGAAATAATTCAGTCCAGTTGTGGGCAGAGGAGATACAGAAAGTTTGGTTTTAAGTCTTTGTTAGTGTATCAATTTCATGCACTGCAGGTTGCATAACTCAATTTCTATTAAACATGAAATGCTAGCATTTCAGGATTTGGTTTTGTGCCTAATTGGAATGTATTCTGGAAAACGTTGGTTTTTTCCTTTTTACATTTTCATTGTCATATTAATGCACAGTATGACATGCCACTATGTCAGTTAAAAAAGACTATTTTGAATATTAAAGGCTGCTTCATAAAGATTCTTTTGGAATCATATAGAATCTGCTTCAGATAGAATTTTCATATGGTTTGAAACATCTTTTCTTATTTTCTAGACAAGTGTCTCCTGTTGCAGTGTAACCAGTATTTTGTCATAGTTTTATTAAAATACATTATGATGTAACTTGATGTATGTCATGTCATGTCATGTATTACTACTACTGATATGTGAAGTAATGTCAATATAAATAATGTAAAAGTGAAAAAAATTCTGAAACAAAATAGAACCAATGATTTTTTTTTAATTTTTTTTCTTGAAAATTTGTTCTTACAGGAATTTTCTCTTAAATTGGTACGATTTCACAATACATTTTGGTTTTATTGAAATAGTATTTTCTGATGGATATCTGTTTTGGCACAGAGTTTTTCATCAGCTATAGGAACAGATGCCTTTTCAAAGTGGTTCCACATTAGGGAAATATTTTTTCCTGTAATCAAGGCTATACAAGACTCACTGTGCCAATTGTTCCCGGTTTCTCTCTTCATTAGTTTGAGTGGCTGGACACATAACCCAGTCTTACAGAATTTCTCCTCTTACTAGTTAGCTATTTGTGGCTTTAACTATTTATATCCAAATAAATTTGTATATGAAGTGATGTTATGCTAAGTCTGCAGAGGAGTATGAATATGGCAACTGGTACAGTGTACTTAGAGAGGTGGACCAGAAAAGAAAAAGCGCTGCTTCCACCCCACCCCTCCATCCCCATTTTTTTGATTTAATATCTAAAAGTCCAGCATTCTCAAATCACCAGACTTGATTCTGAAGCAGGTACTCTAGTAAAATTCCTAGCCTAGTCATTGACCAAGTGACTTGAAGTGTGAAGGTTTTGTCCAATATTAAATTTCTTTCCCACACATGCTCGTAATGTACTTAACGTAGAAAAAGTGGACTCTTATTTTGTCTCCAAGAGTAAAATATAGTTCTTCTTCGAGTGGCCCCATGGGTGCTCCACTCCTGGTGTTGGGTCCTGTCCCGGCGCCGCGAATCGGAGAGCTATCAGAGCCATGGTCTGCCAGACCGCGCATGCGTGGCTGCCTCTAGTGGCGTTCACACCTTTGATGTGTTGCGCGTGGTCCAGCCTCGCTCAATTCCTCTCATCCGCCCCCCAGCTGTTCCCACCATCCTGTATGGTAAGGCGCTGGAGTTGGATGCTGTTTCTGCCGTTGGGACAGTAGTCCATAAGCGACGGGCAACTGTTACAAAGAGAAAGAAGGCATCCCTAACTCGATCTCTGCCAGTGACCACCAACACAAGATGCCTTGAAAAATCATCTGGGGCAACTACCCCAGGATATCAATAGGCTGCCAAGGCAAGGAGATTGCCTGAGCCAGGGCTGAGAGCGTGAGTGGCATTGGCACTGGCAGCAGCGCAAAAGCTGGCACTCAAGTGGCACCGGCTGTGGCGGGGTTAACCCCCTCGGCACTGAATCTGCAAGTCTCGCCCACAGCACCACCGGCATCGTGCAATATGTCGGCACCGAACTCATCCTTGGCACCATCAGCACCGCCCCCATGTGGAGTCTCTTCGGCACTGCAGCCACGTTCGGCCCCCGGCTCTCCAGCAGCATGTGAAATTGACAAGGCTTCCCTGCCTTGCAAAGCTGCAGAAAAGGAAACTTACAGAGTATTATCTCCCTCGCCTGCCTTCTCTCCGGGACCGTCTCCGTCTCCACCCAGGTACCGAAGGCACCAAGACTATAGCCTTTCTCCTGCTTACCAAATACTTAAAAGACCCACACATGAGGACACTGTCTATATAGAAACAAGATGCTCTCCATCGCATTCTCGTTCACCCAGGACGTCATCAAGGAGTGGATCACCTTCACGATCACCGTGGTGGGTCTACTATATCTGCAATTCAATATCCTCCAGATACTCTTCTCCAGCACAGTCTGAACAATACTATGGGCGCTACTACAGGGCTGTCTCTGGTCGTTCCCACCCTGGGCACACTCCGCCCATCACCCAGTGCATAATACTTACCTGAGCGTCCACAGCAGTTGCTCTTGCCGCCCTCCATCAGAAAACTTGACTGTCCATCAAGAACACTTGGAACCAGAAGAGGGACAGTTGTCCGAAGCAGAAGATCCTCAACCGCACATTTCCCCAACCAACTGTTCCTCTTCTTCACCAGATGAGGCAATGATTCCAGATGACACCTCTCCATTGGATAACCTGAAGCAATTCCAGGATCTGTTCAAAAGAGTTGCAAACACACAGGAAATACAATTAACAGACATTCCCATAAAAAAACATCGTCTCTTGAAGAATCTGTGACAACAGCGAGCAAAAATTGCCCTTCCTATTGATGAGGCAGTCATGGAAGTGGCAGATGAAATATGGCAGACCCCTACATCGGCTGCCCCAACAAGTAAGAGAGTCGATAGGAAATATTTCATGCCCGCCAAAGGGTGGGTGCCAAAGTGTTGGATTTCCTTTTCAGTTACCCCCAACCCAACTCTGTTGTAGTTGATGCGGCGCAGCGCAGAGCTAAAGCACCTCAATACAGAAACACATTGCAAGACAAAGACCATAAGAAACTAGATGTTTTCGGTAGAAAAGTTTACTCTTCAGCTGCGTTGTTATTACGTATTGCAATCTATTTTGCCCATCTCTCTAACTGCAATTTTGATAATTATTCAAAGTTTACGGAACTACTACAACATCTTCCTGATGCCAAGAAGCCCTTACTGAAGGCCATAGTCCAAGAGGGATATATATCCTGTAATACTACTTTGCAGATGGATGTGGCTGACAAAGCTGCACGGGCAAGGGCTATGGGAGGGCGATGAGACGGTCTTCCTGGTTATCCTCTGCAGGAGCCCTGCGGGAGCATCAGAATGAAGTCGAAGACCTACCTTTTGATAAGCAAAAACTCTTTGCTAATAACACCAACGAAGTTCTCCATTCTGGCAAGGACTCCCGTACCACTTTATGTACACTGGGAATGTACACACCTCCCTATAGGCACAAACGCTACTATCCCTATCAACGAAGGTACAACTATAGTTTAATAAGAATCAACCACATACCCAAGAAAACCAGCGCTTCCGACAGCGTCCTCAATGTAAATGATCTCTAGCAAACTGCTCATCCAATCAACCTGCACCAAAGCAGCAAATTTGACTTGCCCGTCGGATGCAAACACGACTCCCACATTCAACATACAACAAAATTCTCTCCACCTTTTTCACCATCGCCTAAAGCAGTACCACCATCTTTGGTCCAATATCATCTTGGACAAGTGGGTACTGGAAGTGGTACAATCAGGTCTCTCCATCCCCTTTCTATCCATTCCCCCTACCACTCCACCTACCCCGTCCCTTTTCAGGGACACCTCTCACGGGCACCTGCTAAAGCAAGAAGTTCAGCATCTTCTGAACATCTGTGCAATAGAGAAGGTACCAAGTTAATTTTTGGGGAAAGGATTTTATTCCCGATACTTCCTTGCCCCAAAAAAGTCAGGAGGGTGGAGACCTATTTTGGACTTACGGAAATTAAATCGCTACCTCAGGAAACTTCGCTTCAAGATGATGACCTTAAATGCCATCATTATGCCATTGAACAGGGGAGACTGGTTTGCAGTCTTCGACTGCAGGAAGTCTACTTCCACATAGCAACCCATGTGGCACACAGGCGTTTTCTCCGCTTCCAACTAGCCAAAAACATTTCCAGTACAGAGTACTGCCTTTCCGTTTGGCATGCGCACCCAGAGTTTTCACCAAAACCCTAGTGGTTGTGGCTGCCCACTTATGCAGAATAGGAGTGACAGTTTTTCCATACTTGGACAGTTGCCTCATAAGAGGGCTAACATATTCAGAGGCCAGACAAATGGTAGTAACAGCCTCTCAGGTCTTCGACTCTCTGGGTCTCCTCATATATACGCAGAAGTCTTCACCAGAACCTACACAGGACCTGATTTTCATAGGGGGCGAGGCTCGACTCAAAAACAGCACGCGCTTACTTACCCGCCGAACATTTCGCCACGATCCGAGAGCTTGTGTGCACACTGACGCATGCTCCGATGTTTCCCATTCGAATGTCTTTACAACTAATGGGACACATGGCTGCTTCAACTGCTGCAGTTCAGAACTCAGTTCATTTTCGCTGTCTCCAACACTGGTTGGCCACAGTATATATTCCAGTGAAAGAAAGCGTCCATAAGGTGGTGGTACTACCACCACATGTGCAACAATCCCTGCAGTGGTGGACCAAGCCATACAGTCTTATGGCAGGCATCCTTTCCACTGCCCACAACTGTCAAAACAAATAATGATGGATGTGTCCCTTACCGGTTGCGGAGCGCATATGGACGACTTGACGGTTCAAGGTTGCTGGTCCATGCAGGAGATGCTCTT